CTCTCTCTCTCACATTAGATCACCATTTCTCTATTTTCATTCTTCTTTTATATCAAGATCAGGCCACCCAACTAAGACACAAAACCAAGAACCAATTTATTACCGAAAGAGAAAAATGTGAGAAAGAATGAGATACATAAACTACACGGCCTTGAACAACAAAATAAATACAGGATGATGAAAGTTTTTTCCCTAATTTTGCTTATTATTCTGGCATATTAATGTACCTATGCAATAAAGTCAGTTGAACGTGGTCTAATATACAGATGTTTTTGTGAGAGATTCTGATCAATGATTGTAATAAATAAATAGAGAAAGAAAAAAAAATTAAATGCAAAATTAATAAAAAATAAATAAAACAAGGTGCATATAATTTATTTGACACAAGTTTTGAAGAAGAAAAAAAATGAGAGCAAACAGAATGCTACATGTTTGTTTGCAAGGGTAAGCAGATATTTCAAGAACGTCTCAGGGTGCATTTATCCTTCTTCCTCCATCGGATGTTATGGTTCGGAAGTAGGGGGCTAGCCCGGACAAAGGAAATGAAATTCTAACCCCTCCAGAGGGAGACAAATGAGATTGAATTTCACTGGACACTAGTCTAAAAATAAAGGTGATACGTCAAGGAGGTAGGTTCACATCAGAGCAAAACTTCGAGAAACTTTACATCTTAGGAGTAATCGGCACCATTTAAAGGGGCTGTAGCATGGGAAATCCTGGTTGACGTCATCTACGTCTTCTTTTGGACAACTGCACGTACACGAATGGACTTGATGAACTGGGTCAGCGTGCGCTAGCGTTCGCGAAATAGACCAAAGTTCTCCTCACGCTTCAGTTTTGCATATGTTGCACACACATGAATACATGTAAGCCTACTGTTGTCGCTTCGTCCGTGGTCGTATTACATGTATATTCAATTTTCGTAGAGTGGGCCTCTGGAAAGACGCATTGTCTCTTCATGCTACACCCCCTTTCATCAGTGACTGATACATGTTTACTGTAAAACCAGATATTTATCAATCTACTGCATAATAGCAGCCATTTTCAGGGCTACAACTTTCAATGCTTACACAAATTTAGATTTGTATTCAATTATTTTGCAGCATCAAACGTGGGGAAAAACAGTTTTTTTAAATTTCAAACTCCAATCATAAATATCTGGATAATCAGATGGGCGATCGGCTTGAAAACGTCATGGGATTCCTGACTGACTTAAAGGTTTTAATTATGATCGGAGCATGAGCTAAATCCAGGATTTTGTTTAGAATCTGAGATACCCAATCCTTTTTTTGCCACACACTGCAAAGTCAGATAGGGGTTAGAAAGACCACCCTGGTATCGATTGAATCTCCTTCCTCAAAATTTGATACACAAATCAAACACATGCATACATGTATTAATGTATACTACAGTTCTGTAAAAATAAGGGTGGTGACAAGTGTCTGCAGATGTTTTACACCTATTTAAAAACCAAGTTTTAAATGTCATATCGGGTTATTTTGCAAGGGTAAGTCCGGACAAGGAAGGCGAAATGGACCCCTCTCTCGAGAGAGTTCAATATGATACAGTTTCACGATATACCTGCCCTTGCCTAAAAATATCACTCACAGCCCATATCAAAACAAAGGGGTTTCGCTTGTTCTATTTCGACACAAAAAGAGAGAAGAAGACATTTGGGTAATCAGCGGAACAGAATCTTTCCCCTCCCCCTATTCTGTATCGCTGATCATCCAAGCGTCATTCTTCTCAATTTTTGTGTCAAGACAGAACAAGCGACTTACTTAAAGGGATTGGGTATCTTTGTCTCAGATTCTAAACAAAATCCTGGATTTAGCTCATGCTGCAATCATAATTATAAACCTTTAGGTCAGTCAGGAATCTCATGACGTTTTCAAGCCGAACGCCCGTCCGATTATCAAGATATTTATGATTGGAATTCGAAATACCAAACACTGTTTCCCTACGTTTTTTTATAACACTACAGTCTATGGGAAAAATGAGTGACATCTAACCAATAATGTCCATATATATGACATTAAAATGACCACAAAAATATGAGAGTTTTAAAAGTTTAATCTTTTTTTCCTTTTTGTTTCTTTCAGAGACTCCTCTTTCATACAGCAATGGCAGTCACATTCACCAGAGTTTCCCAGAAATCAATCAATCTTCCTGATTGATAGGAACTGAAAATCCCTGCCTGTAACTCTTGATATAAATCGGTTTGGTCCCACGGCCGCCGCTCATTAAAGTCGATATAAGATGGGGAGGGGGGAAAGGAGCAATATCCTGTTTTGATGCAGGGGGGCCAAAGTGCACCCATTCTGGGGGATGAGGGGGGTAAGGAAGGACACACCGGTAGAGGAGGTCAACCGAGGTCAACCGAGGTCTCTCGTCTATCTACAGGAATGGGACGTGACAGTTTGGATTGGCTACCGGGCACCACCCATGCGATCATCTACAGACTTCCTAATCGGCGTCTTGAGGTATGCTGACCCTATCATCTTCATATTGCATATTTTGCTTTTATTCTATCTCCCTGGGCCCCGAATCCGCCCCCCCCCCCTCCCTGTATGATTGATTGAATGCATCCATGTGTGTGGTAATTTATCATTGGTGATTTGTCAGTTTTGTAGAGTGTAAGTGTACAAATTTCCAATCATAAATATCTTGATAATCAGACAGGCGATCGGCTTGTAAAAGTCATGGCGTTCCTGACTGACCGAAAGGTTTATAATTATCATTGCAGCATGAGCTAAATGCAGGATTTTGTATCAGAATCTGAGACAATGTTTAATATCGAGTCACTTTAAAGCAGATGTTGAAAGAGCAAATGTGGGATTGTCATCAAATCCATATCTGTCTATGATTAACAGATTAATCTATCAAACACTTGTTGCTTCACAAGATACACTTGAGAAGTTTCTCTCTCTCTCTCTCTCTCTGATGTCTACCTCCTTCATACATGACCTTTTGACCCCTTGAAGAGGAAATCGCATAATGCATCTAATCCAATCACATTATTTATCAATCATTGAATTAGCTTGCAAGAGGAAACGCAGCCTCAGTGAATGAAACACATATATATATATGTACACGTGCCATTTACATGCACATATGGAATGTAAAGGAATCGCCTTCAACTGGAAAGAGTGGGTGAATAGAGGAAGCCGTTCAACAAAAATAGACAAGGGAAGGGGGATAGTAAGAAAATATTGACTGCTGTATTTTTAGGGGTACAGTGAAAATTGTGACCTTTAACGATTTTAAAACAGTACATGTAATGTATGTCCTGAGGCAAAGCCAAGGGAAATAGTACAGTCGGGAAATCATCGAAGACTGGAGTTAAATTGTAGCCTGAGAAAGTAGTAGTCAATATTTGTTTTATATAGGTACTGAATTTGGGGTTCTTTGTAGAAGTCAAGTGTAGAGTGCTCCAAATTTATATAACAGCGACTGCCCAAGGGGAACACAAAAAGTGGTCTTTGTAGACAGGTCCCATTAGTACATGTTTCAATGAGAAACCATTTTCAAGGGAAACAAAAAATGTGCTTGTTGTAAACAGGTGGTCACTAAAGCAGGTTTGACTGTATATGTATATATATATATATATATATATATACATATGTATTTCACATATATTCATACTACATGAACAAGTAAATTTATTAAAAAATATGTACATGTAGTTAAAAAATGTAGTAACAATTAATTACATGTACATTTCCACAGGTCTCCACTTGTCAGCTATTTACATAAACTAGTTTCCCCTTTGACACATCTTTTTGTTGAGTGGTTGACCACTTATGGTTGTGAATGAAGCCTGAAGTGTGAAGAATGCCTTTAAGCATAGATTCAGGTAACCACTTGAGGGAAAGAGAACAATAAACAGAAACCCCCTTTGGCTTTTGTCATATCGAGAAGTGATACTGGCCATCAAAACTGATACTCAGAAGAGGCAAAGACAATACACAACTCCTCCTTGGAACAATGCAAGGTTTAGAGACGGCGTGATCTGAACTACATGCACTTTGTGTCACAGCTTTGTATTTCTACCATCACAGATTCAGATGAAGATAACCTCTAAAATATCAATCAAATAGTGTTTCAATGCTTAAACCAGCCTTAAACCAAAACGGGTTCATGGACCTGGTTATGATTAACTGTACTTTTGCAAGTTCATGTTTTGCAATGCTTTTCTATGAAATACAGATATGATAACACCAACAAGCATTACCATACCACAATTAATCTTGTGTACTATATGTACATGTACTGTGTATACCCTTTTACTACCGTATGTATATTTTTGTATTGTCTCAATATCATGTTGTGTTTTTCGAATTTTTTTACTGATTTTGAATGAACTTATTTCTTATTTCAATGTCATGATTTTGATGTCTTTTTATACAAGATTTTAGTGTAAAACGCAATATGTAAAATCTCACAATGAATTTCCATGTCATTATTAGAAGGGAAAAAAATTGAATTGAATATGATTAACCATTTAAAAAGTTGTAATGTTTAGACATCTTTCATAATACAATTTCCTGAAAATTACTCAAAAAGTACCTTAAAAGATTTTACCAATTGGGAGCAATAACATTTTTGTAGAACATGCATTTTCTATAGACTCTAGACCTAAATATCCTGTTGGTATTTTATGGGTTAACCATTGAACCTTGAAGTGATAATCCTTTTCAGTAGCTCCTAGAAGCTTTCCCAGGATGATGATATCGAGGGTTCAGAGACACAATGACGTAACTCCATTTTTTTTGCCAAAATTAGTATTTGATATCAAAATGTTCAGAAAAATGTGGGCTTTCCAGGAAACACAAAGACTTAACTCCACCCAAGACCCCATTGAAGTCAATGGTTAGTGAAATATAGACTTAACTCCTTAAGGCCCAAGTGCTCAGTGACACATACATGTAAACCCCTTTTTCTCAAAATGGCCAAAATGGAGTTACGTCTTTGTGTCACTGACCCCTCGATATATATGCTGTGTGTCAGTGTGAGGTGCCACGGTGAAGTAGATAATAGCATTGTCACATAAAAATTATAATAAAATGCGAGTGTGCACGGTGCGAGAAAAACTGAATTGGGGCTTACCGTTGAGTTCTGATTTGAGCGGTTTCTCAGGTTCACGTTGCCTCCGTTCTTCAAGTTGGCATTCTCGGCCACCTCGCCGTAGTCATCGTCGGAGCAGACGCTGTCGTACAGGGGCTCATTGTCCTCGTCGTAGGAGGCGATGTTGCTGGGCGATGTGGGGGACTTCTCGGGCGCCGGAGGGACTGGTGGCGGTTCTCGAACAATCTCAACTTGATCTGGAAATTCAACGAATTTGAATTAAAATAGATTTGATAAGGCCTATAACAAAAAATATGTTGTATTGCCCTTTAGTTGCCAAAACATGGGTCGGTCGGTTGGAAATCTTTTTTTTTTCTTCTTTTTTTTCTTCTCCATTTTTCCCTTTTTGGGCGGATATTTCTCAGTTTTGAATGAAAACATTTTTTTTCTAAAAAACCGTTAAAAAAAAAAAAATCTTTTTAAAAAACAGACTTATTTCTGGAAAAAATTGTGGCCGTGTACTACTATAACATTTCTATTAGTCTTTTAAGTTTTAAACCAATTTTCAGGGCGGAAAGCAGTTTAAATATAAAACAAATCTTTAAATGGGAATAATTTGAAAAGTAGATTTTGAGTCGCTCGCGTGCTAACGCCCATTGCCAGCCGGACGACGATATGAAAAGGAGCACTTCCAAGGAACGAGCGGCAGCTCTCTCGTAAAATCTCCTGCAGAACCATTATCAGAAACTTTGTAAAAATCCAAGCATTACACACTAACAAGTCACACAGTCTCCCATGTTCCTGTCCGAAAGAAGTGGTACATTATCTCAAGGTTTTATGTACCGACTTACAACCTACATGAGCCACTCGCTGTAGTCCCTCGAAGGACAGTAGAGGACCTTTTTTCCCCCCTCCTTCTTCTTCCCCTTCTTCTTTGAGGGGAAGCGACAAGGCACATTTTATTTGCTCATTCCTGATTTGATTGAATTGGATATTTCCTCCTCTTCTTCAAAAGGGTTTAAAGCATGTGATATCAAAGGCTGGCTAGGAAATTGGGAAGATAAAGGCTATGTTTGGATGGCGGAGGATGTGAGAGGTTGAGAAGAGGATTTGTGATCCGTAGGGAGCTTTCAACCTCTAGTGCTTAAAGGGATTGGGCAACTTTGTCTCAGATTCTGAAACAAAATCCTGGATTTAGCTCATGCTGCAATGATAATTATGAACCTTTAGGTCAGTCAGGAACCCCATGACTTTTATAAGCCGATCGCCTGTCTGATTATCAAGATATTTATGATTGGAAATGGGAATTCAAAAATTTGATTCCCTAACGGTTTTCATAACACTACAGTCTATTGGGGGAAATGAGTATGGAAAAACTGGTCACTCAAAGATTTCTTGCTTTTTTGAGGCACTTCATGATCACTTTTAAGCGCAATTTTTTAGGGCTTCAATATTTCACAGACACTGATAATACATAGGGTCATGCATCTCAGATTAACATTGTTAAACGATGCCTTTAAAAGGGACTGCAATGAAACCAAATATTGTTGCACTTTTAAGCCATCTGTACACAGTCCTCTACATCGTTCACGTAACTGGCTGTAATTACATACAGTATATCACTGTTACACCATGGAGAAAAAAAGATCAAAGTTCGGTGCAAAAAGGGGCTGTAACAATCTTGAAGATTTTTTTTGCAGGTTTTTCGCAATGTCCATGCTCAGTGGTGATCCAATGCCGATTGCTCAAGCCTTTTTGGGTCAAAAAATTAGTGTCAGAGTTAGGGTTGCAATTGGGTTTTAGGTTAGGTTTAGGGTTAGAGTTAGGTTTAGGGTTAGAGTTAGGTTTAGGTACAGTGTTGGGTGCAGTTTTGAAGTTAAGAAATTCACGCTGAGCCATTGCCGCAATAGCAAGTGTCGTACAACCGCACTCAGTCCACAACATTTTTCATTTAAAGGGTCATAATAAGATACATGTACATCACAACAACGCTATAAAGTTCAAGTTCAAGTTCAAAGCTAAATACTGCGGGGATATTCCATATTGTCTTTAGTGATACATGGGTTTAATCTGAATTGACATATGATTGCTTCCTGTACAGACAAATGAAAGAATAAAACTTTTCAACAAAAGAAGAAAACAAATTGGAATAAGAATTGAGTGAGAAGAAGAAAAGAGGAAAAAAGAACAAAATATATTTAAAAGGAAAGCAAGAAGAGTCATTGTAAATTTAATGGAGGGAAGAGGGACGTGTATAGCAAAGACAAAAAATGGTAGGCGTCACAATAATTATGCATATTAAAACAAAAGTTGAAAGTCAAATGTACAGAAGACTTTCATTTAAAAAAAAATCTTCCTTCCTTTCTTTCTAAGATTTTTTAATTTCTTTATTTCTTACTTTCTATATTTTGGAGAGTGGTTTTTCCTTTTTGCTTCTTTTAAGATGTCGATGGTGAATGTAGCAAACTTCCTGGGACCGGCCCTCAAATATCACTAAATGAAGAGGTACTAGATTTAACCCCTCCCCAAAATTACCAATAAATTACCTTTATGCCTTGGTAGGGTAAACTTCCTTTGTCTCCTCTTTCAAGATGTCGATAACAAGTTTAGCAAAATTTCTGACACTGAATCTCACACATCACTCAATAACAAGGGTCTAGGTTCAAATCCCCTGTAAAACCAATGACTTACCTCCATGCCTTGATAGGGTCAGGTTCCCCTGCTGTCTCCTCTTGGCCTCCTTCAAGATGTCAATGATGAGAGTAGCGAACTCCCTAGCGCTGAACCTGGCAAGCTTTTGTCTTCCCTGCATTCATAGAAAATAATAATAATATGGTTATTTATATAGCGCCAGTATCTGTCAGGTTCCGATGCTCATGGCTCTTTACAAATATTACCCTGGTCGTAGCCGAACAGCCAAAGTAACTAGCACTCAAGCATATCAGGTACCCTTTTACACATGGGTGGAGAGTGGCAAATGTAGAGTACATGTACAAGTAACGTCTTGCCAAAGGACATTAGTGCCGCGGCGGGACTTGAACCCTGTACCTTGTGATCTGTAGTCGGGTGACTTATCCACTAGTCCACAACACCTCCAGAAAAGGTACATGTAGTATAGTGAAGATAAAGTGTTTTAGTGGTGGTTATTTTACCTGACATCTAGGAAAGCATAAATGCTTGTTAGTGAACAACCAGGGGACCAACAGCTTTAGGTCCTCTTCAAGGATTGAAGTCCAGTGACCCACTCCGTCTTACATACAACATCACACGGAAACTAGCTGGAGATAGGACTTTCACTATAACTGCATCTAAATATTGGAATAGACTAACCTTAATACTCAGGCAATCACCATCTGTCCCTTCTTACAAAAAGGGACTTAAAACATTTATATTTTGTAATCCAGATTTTTAGGATTCTGTAAGTTTTCATTTTCATTTTTTGTAGAATTCTTCTTGTTGTAAGCGCTTTGGGCCGCTCTGGGAAAAGCGCAGTATATAAATAATAATAATAATAATAATGTACATCATCCATGGAATGCCATATCCTTTCTATTTTTGAGGAATAAAACAACGACATTTACATGGATTATTTCTAAACAGTATTCCTTTGAATAGTATCACATAATGGTCGAGTGGACAAGTCAGCAGATCACAAGGTTTAGGGTTCCAATCCCTGCTTCAGCATTATCATCCTGCGGCATGATATTAAATCCGCATTTGCGACCTTTGAACTACATGTATAAAGTGAAGAATGCATACATGCCCATTCACATGATGCAATATCTACAAGGATTATTCCTTGAAATCTATTTATCCATTTGTTTCATCCTATATAAAAAACTTTTGACATGAGTATAAGAAGAAGTATAAATTTGGTTACATTACGAAAATGGATTTTTGCAAAAAACAACATATTTCTAACCTGATTCCTTGTAGCAGAGAGTTCCGGATTGAGTGGTAGAAAGGGCATGGAGCTATCGCCTCCAACCAGACTAGGTTTGTTCAATGATACCCACACTGTTCATACAAGAAAAAGCAAATACAAAAATGTCAAAATGGAATAATGTAGTTAACATAGCTAAACCGGAGGAAGTGATATGATTGCAGGGCTCTCAAGTAGAATAGCAGGAAAAAAATACACAGGGGCTCGGGGCAAATTAGCCCCCGAAAGTAAAAAAAAAGAGCCCCCAAAATTGCATAGAGTTCAATGCAAAACAAAATAAAGAGTGTTATTTACATGCAAGCAAGCTTGAAAAGTAGCCCCCAAATTTTTTTAAGTATTTTTCCCCTGTAGAATAGTATCATTAGACATTACTGATGAGGATAACCAGGGTAAACAAGGCATATTATCATCATAGGGTGGTATTCCGGTAGCGCGTACTAAGTTAGTCTACACTTTTATGGAGTGCATGTTGCCAACTCATTTACCTTGTACAGATTATTTGAATCATTCAATGAAAAGTGTCCAAAAATTTAATTTTGCAATGAAATGGGCAGAAAAAGATAATATGAGTATGAACTGAATTTCAACAAAGTCTTTGGAAGATTATCTTTGTCATGAATATGGAAGGAGGAAGATGGACCTAGCATTCCATAGAAGTGTGAACTAAAATTATTGTTTAGACTGGACTTAGTCCAGGCTTAACTTATGAGAATACCACCCATTATCATTATCATTATTATTATCATTTTAAAGCCTATCTGCACTAGTTTGGCCAGGAGGGATTAGACCTCCCTGCCTGGTCACTGACAGATGGTGATCTCATCAAATAATCTCTCAATTAACATAAGAAAAAGGGGATCATGGGTGGACCAACGGCTATCGCGAAGGCATTGTTTACTATATAGAAGGCCCAAGTAGCTTCAAGTAGTGCAGTCCCGCTTTAAACAAAATATGTTCTTTTCTTATAAATCTAACTCTTATTGTCTTCTCTAATGCACGGAGATGTATACACTGTACAACGAAACCTGCTTTAGTAGCGACTTGTACGCAATGATCGCCTCTTTATAAAGACAGCATCTTTTGTTTACATTAAATCGCGTTCCTAACTGATTCATGTATGAAAGTGATATGTACATAATGACTACTTGACTACAAAGACAATTTTTCTTAACTCTCTTGAGCAACATTTACAAATACAATGAATGGCACGAATTCACAAAGGAGGTTTAGATTTAACCCATGGTTTAAATCTTCATTTACATAACCCATGGTCTAAATTTAGCCCAAAATAAGCGCGACACAGTCAGAGGTCCTATATAGATTCAAGATCCAAGATCCATATACAATGCAATATATGTTATAATCAATGCTGATATTGGCACCTGCGTGCAATATAAGTTGCATCTTTCTTTAAGATATAATGTGTCTCTTTGTTTAATACAAACAGACTGATTTGTAAAGCTAATGGGCTCTTACAAGTGCAATTATAAGCTCTAAATTTTGATTTAATGTTCAATGTGGCACGAATCAGTATCCATACAATCAATGCATCTGTGGCTTTCTTTGTTTTGAAGTCAGGTTTCAGTTTACAAACCAGTGCATTATTTAGAATTTGATGCAGTGTTCTGCTGATGCACTTTTTCTGGCAATCTCTCTTAAGTTGATGTAATGACATACATTTGAAGAGGAGAAGAAAAAAGAAGAACAAAAAAAAATCAACTTTAGTCACTCAAAAACATACACATAAATCATATAGAGAATAACGATGGACATATGTTCTAACCTAATATGAACAAGAACAAAAACTTTAAAAGGATGCAATCACCGATGAAGAATTTATCACTGATAAGAAAGGAAGACAGAGCACAAGGAGATGATTAAAAGGGGTAGAAAATAATGTGTGACAAAGGTAAAGAGGTGATGCATCAACAAGGGTTAGGGTTTCCATTGGGTTTTAGTTTAGGTTTAGGGTTCTGAATGTACACCCTGGGGTTGGTTGAGGGTTGATGTTCAGAACTGTTTGGAGTAGGATATTGTATTGACTGTAGAGCAATTGACGCTGGTGCATGTGTCAAACGACTGAAGAAGTAGGCCAAATGCTAGTGCAGATGACAAAACAACTTCGAAAGACTTACAGAAATCATTGATATAAATAAGAAAAAGAAGCGGGCCCAAAATAGAACCTTGTGGGACACCACAACTTACATCCTTCGTATTAGACAAGATAAACAAGACAAATTTGAATCAATCAATCTAATATGGAGAAAAAATCCCCCAAAATGGTCCAATGACGCAGAGGAATGGAGGACATGAGTCGGCCCTTGCCAGGACCACCTAAGAAGAAGATGATAAAAATACAACTTACGAGAATCTAGTTCTCTTCTGTCCACTTCATCGTAGACATCCATGGCTAGCTCCTCAAATAAATGATTACTCAACTGCAGAGGAGGAAGAGATAAAGAGAAAATCATATACCAGGGGTGATGGTGAGCAATAAAAAAAATATATTTAAAAAATTTTTCCTTCAACCACGCCCCCTAGAGTATAAATTTTTTTGTAAAGAGGATTGGGGTAAAAATTAAAAAAAGAAGGTATCTAACAACATTCCCCCCCCCCCCCTTCGGGGTAAGAGGTAGGAAAGAATAAAGAAAATAAGGGGGAAATCAGGAAAATCGGGAAGAAAGAAAAAAAATGGAGTAAAAAAAATGGGGAAAATTTTGGTAACCGATTTAAATCGGGTAATTATCAGGCCTGTATACACAATAAGACTGCTTTGAGGGGCACAGTTAATTCTATAGCTCATGATGATCTCAAAGGTGTACAGTGCCCCGTGAAGATGTTGAGGGGCATACCCAAGATCACAGGGGACCTACCGTTTTGAACCATAACCAACAAATTTGGCAGTCAATATTTTTTGACATCGCATCTTGCATGTGAATTCGCAAAAAGCCAAATGAGAAGAAATGAGTATCCCATTTGAAATGTACTTGAACATGTGGGGAAATTTACCAACCTAAAAAAAGTGAAAGTATCCACAGCACCCACCCATTGTTAACTTCATAAGCATCTAATGCCGGTACTGAGGGTACTGATTTTATCAAAATTGGACTTTAATGACAAGAATTCTTTCTTTAAAGTATGTGCAGATGAAGGACATCTTTGGACACATACAGTAGATGAGATATAAACAATTTTAGTAATCAACAATATCAAGACAAAGTAACGTTATGCCAAATCTTTCAAAATTTTCGACATATCTACCAAGTACATGTACATCTACATGTACTTCAAATTCAACCAACTTCAAATATGAGTTCTTATTTGCTTCCTGAAGGGTTCACAATGTGTCAAGCTTCGGGTTATTTTGCAGCTGCAGTTAAGTTTGGATTTATTGTAGATCAATTTAGAATTTAATCAAATGGAACTTAGAAAGAGCGAAATCCAAATTAACTCATTGTGGGGCTCTTAGGGAAATGGGGGGTGTTTCACAAAGATCCTAATTTGGACTTATCTCTAAGTTGGACTTAACAATTATGGAAAGCTGTTAGCATCTATGAAAACATTTTGTACAAGTTATTTTAAAAGGCATAAAATGTTGATTCCAATCATTCATATTTTCTATTATCAAGGAGATTTCATGTTCTTGATCAATGTGGAATTAATAAAATGTATAAAATACTTGAATTTTTGCTTTTGAATATGTTTTTTTTTTAAAGGCTACAAATAGCTCTCCATAATTTTTAAGTCCAACTTAGAGTTAATTTTGACTTAGGATCTTTGTGAAACACCCCCCTGCTCTGGTAACATCTTCATGGAGTAATACTTAAAGCTTATCTGTACTAGTTTATAGGAGGGATTAGACCACCCTACAAGGTCACTGGACAGGTGGTTATCTCATCAACTCAGAAAAAGAGGATCATTGGGGACCAATGGTCACCGATTAGGCATTGTTTGCTATATAGAGGGCGCAAGTAGCTATACGCACTGCAGTGGGGCTTTAAATGAAAGTCTTACACTTTGGAGCTTTTTCCTGGCCTGGTCTGCGGCATCCGATCTGTCTAACGAACCATCGGCCATCTCAGGGATCAAGAAATGGGTGCTAGATGAGTGATCTGAAAGCGGAAAGGAACAAGAAGAAGAATACAGAATATTCATTATATCACTGAGATACTGGTTCCTGAAAACAACCATGATCACCTGTATCATCATCATCTTCATCATCCATCATCCTCACTGTAATCATCAAAATTATTGTCATCATCATCACCACCATCATCATCATCACCACCATCATCATCATGACCATCATCATAACAATCATCAAAATTATTATCATCATCATTATAAACGTCATCATCAATACCAAAAACACCATTATCATTATCATTGCCACCACCACCACAACTACCACTATCAACATTATGAGAATCACCAGTAAAAACAACATCATCATCACTATCACACATCATCATCATCATCATAATCATCATTGCCAACACCACCACTACTACCACCACCAACATCATTAGCATCACCAGTAAAAACAACATCATCATCACTATCACACATCATCATCACCATCACCATCACTATCACCATCACCATCACCATAACCATCATCATCACCATCATCATCATCATCACCATCACCATCATCATCATCACCATCATCAGTACCACCATCATCACTGTTATCACTACTAAGTGTACCTGGTCTCTTTCCACACACAAAGAATGTGAGTCTGTCGGTGAGTTCATATTGGCATTGAACCAGTCTCTCTGCGACCTCCAAATGACCTTCATCCCTGAAAATGAGAGGAAATAAAAATAGAAACATTTACACAACTTTTAAATATAACCTATACATACAATATGTGGTGAAGCAAGTTTGGATCCAGTCAATTAGAGAGTGCTGGCATCATGGGAAGGGTAGGGAATGGGGATGTGATGGGGAGGGGATGGGGAGGGGAGGGGGAGGGGAAGAGGTTCTTAGTGGCTATTAGTCACATTCCCTTCTGGCTCTTGATCCCTTTCTGTCTCTCAATCTTTTTTTTCCTTTTTATCTTACGTCTGTAACCACTCAATGGATGGGGAAGAATGGAGGGGTATATATTTGCATCCCACCCCTCTACATGTACATGTACATGTAGGAATGACACTCCATACAATTACTTAGAATACCCCCCCCCCCCCCCCCCCCAAAAAAAAAAAAAAAAAAAAAAAAAAAAAAAATACCGTCAACTTAAATTAATATTTTATATCAGCCAACAAGGCAGAGGGCATGAAAAGGAACCTGCAAGAGAGCCCTTTCTTTTGCTCATTACGTTTGCAGTGCCTCTACGGAGTACATAACAAAACCCATGATTTTGTATGTGTTATGCAACCATGTTATCTGCACTGATCTAGTGATCCAACCCTTGGCCAAATGATCCCATCAAAACATGTGTTCATGGTTGCCTTTCAAGTTGACTCGCCCTTTCAGCATTGTCTTTCACATATGTTCCCTTGTTCTGCCAAGTTTCAGTACCCGATAACCCAATGTACCCCCTTCTAGATGATCACTTAACCGCAGCACTCAGTGGGGCAAGTAGGACATGTGTTCCTCATCTCATTCATACCTTCAAAGCCAACAAACAGTCTTGGAAATCAAGGGGGAAATCCCTACAATAAGAAAAATGAAGAAAAAACTAGATGGATCTTTGACTGCAGAAGCAATTTTTACAAGTCAAGTTTGAATGTACCGGTAATCCATTAACAGGTTTTCAGTATATTGTGACTACAAGCTATTGTTCGTATACATGTACATGTATGACCCTTTGATCTTTGACCTCATGACCCAAAAATCTAACCAGTTCATTGGCTCATCAAGATACATACATGTACATGTCTTGAGTTTGATGGTAATCTGTCCATCAGTTCTAATGATAATGTGATCACAAGCTATTTTTGCATACATAATACGCCCCATGACCATTGACCTCATGACCCCAAACCTAATTAGTTCATTGGCTCTGCAAGATACATATATCGTCCCTATTTTCACGAAGTGACGGTAGTGAGGAAAATCGTTACGTAAAGTGCATGCAATTTTTTTTCACTACCGTCACTTCGTGAAAACAGTGACGATATGTCGGACGGACAACCAAAAAACATAATGCGTCCGGCTACTTTGTTGCGGAGAAAGAAAAAAAAGGGGGGGGGGGGGGTCAAAATTAAGAGCTTCACAATGAGAGGAAAGAATAATTAAACCTTCATAAACTGGTTTCATACCAGGGCACAGTGCGTCATTGTCCCTGATATAATATAGCACATCCCCAGGGCATAACAGGGTTCATGAAATACTGATCACTATTTCTATACTTTCAATCTGAAAATAGTTGGTGGAAACCTAAGCTGAGCACCTGAAACCAGGGACACATATCGATGACATATCTTGCATTGCCAATTTGCTAACTTCCATAGCGAAGCCAAGGACTGAGTGGATTCATGAATGATATAGAGGAAGATATTGTTGAAAAAATGCCATGGAAAATAAAACTATTATTTTACACATAAATAAATCACAAGTTGGTGATTCTGGGTTATAAGATACATGTACAGAATGAGAAGAGGATTAAAGGTACTACATGTATGTACCACTTTCAGGCCAAAAAAAATGAATACATGTAGGTTAAATTCCAACAGCATTTGAAAGACAATACTAAGTTAGAACTTCCCTCAAAACAAAAGGGCTTGAAATGGCTTTTAGAGGGGAAAATCAACCATTAGTTGTTGAATCTAAGTAAGTGATTGCAATAACCTTAGTAATATTCTGATTTTCAGACTCTTTTACCGAATGGTCGTACGTTTCATACTGCACAAAGATACAATCAGTTTAATTTTGGTCATTACAAGAAGTGGGTTTATTGATGTAGACAAATGCTCATGTATCTGTTACAGCTCATTTTATGTATGTTATTACGAAAGAAAAAAAGAGGTCAGTCAGTTACTCAATAGTGCCTGACAGTGAAACCTAGAAGGTAAACAGGTTTCCTTGCTTAATTTGAATAGTAGGACACTGCTAATGTTTAAATATCACAGACTGGACATACATGACATATTCGTAATTCCTGCAAAGTTCTACAGAATTTGATGTTGGCTGCAAAAGGGACATACTGTACATGTAGTATCTTTAAGGTATTTAACTGGCAAGTGAGTGAGGCCAAATAATTTCAAAGGAGTTAGGCCATCTTGGATTATAAAGCAACGGGTGTAAAACATTCATGATTACTGGTTGCCCACAACATAATAAGTTATAATTTTATTTAATGATTAGTTGTCACTCATTTACACTGATTAATACAGAAAATTGTTTAAAGAAAATGATCGACACTCCCTTTCAAATGTTACACTGAGGTAAATAAATTGCATGTTCGTCATTTCAGATAAAGAATGTGAAGAGCATTTTTCTTAAATATTTTCTATTTGCCGCAGTAATCTTTTAAGGCAGATTAGCGGTTGAAAATAGATGAAATCAAGGTGACACCAGCTGATGGAAATCAGGCCTCTCTCCTTCTCCCACGTGAAAATTCTATGAATCATCGAATCACCTGGGTAATACGTTTTCATGAAAACTAAGACATACAAAACAATCAAGATTGCCAACACACTAGTGTAGGTGTCTTCTTTTCTGAGCGGTAAATGCAGGTAGTTCAGTTGTGATTATAGTTTCTGTCCAGGCTCGAGAGAGAGTGGGCCGTTTATAGTTCCTGGCAAGCTTTTGAAGAAGGGGACTTTGACACCAGTGCTGCATACTTCACACAGGTGCAACACTTCATTTATAGCTGAGAAGGTCCATTCAGACATGATGCAGAGAACACCCGCGCGGCAAAACTTTGTGTGTAAATGAATAGTCAAGGCTAGTTCAGATATGGCGAGGTAAACCGCCGTAAAAAGGCTGTCACATTATTTTTATGTATAAAGTGGATGGCGATTGCGCACAACAAGAGACTTATTCTGTGTTAGAAGATTCAGAAATGTGGAGTGTATTATCACACTTCACCTCATCATTGAAAAAAATGCTGCGGTTTACAGCTTTGGCACGTGAATGAGGCTTGATAGGTAGTTTCAAATGCATACACAGGTTATAACAAACAAATATATAATGTACCACCATTCCCTGAATCCAACAGCACAGAGTATTTCATTGTTCACCAAACACTTTGGCCCAAATTCACAAAGGAGGTTTGTCGACAAACCTAGGTTTATGTGCATCATATGACGCATTTCAAACCAAGGTTTGTACTCTTTCGTCGCGTTTCAAACCAAGCGAAATGCGTCATGTGACGCTCCATGTTCGGGCCATTGACACATATAAACTAACTCAAAGAGACTGGCAGTGAAAAAATGGAAGATGCATGCAAAAGCCTCTCTAGAGTGATGCCTACTTTATATATGTGTGCTATAAGATTCACAAATATAAAGCGCCACTATGTGAACTTCCCTTCATTCTTAATACAGACTGAGGTTTTGTGAAGTGGTGTTCCAGGTCATATGTGAACAAGGCTTTATGGGTTTACTCACTTGGCAAGATCGGCCGGCGTCTGCCCATCGCTATCCAGCGCCCCAGGGTCTGCACCGTAGACTATCAGTAGCTCGCACTGTAACATCTGACCCTCCTTAGCAGCAACATGAAGGGGCGTGTTACATCTCTCCTGGGGGGGGGGGGGGGGGGAGGGAGGGAATATTATATCGTTTTAGTCCCAGAAAGGCTCTACTTGCATATTTACTGTAATACTGAGTATGTTTTTGACTACCGATAACTTGCTACCTACATTTGTCCTAGGAAAGGGTTTTCTCCTCCAGGGGAGGGGAAGAACAGTTATACCATTAATTGTGCAAGGTGTATACTTGTGCATTCTTCTCTAATGTATATTTCAACATTCTTCTCCTGGTGTGAAAGCATGAAATAAATTTGTTTTAAAGGGCTATTCGCTTACTTGTTGTGACTTCGGAAATGTTACACTTACATGTGTACATGTATGTGCCCTTAGTAAAAAAGAAATAGAGCTTTGTTATTATTATCTACCATTACAAAATCAGTTTGAAAACAATCCTTAGTCAAAAACTTGAAGCAGTTGCAAAAATGGACCCAAATATGACTGCTACATTAATAGAACCAGATGAAAATTAGAACTTTCAAATTATTTTGCAAGGATTTTCTCCAAACAAACTGAGGGTCACATTACAAATAGTTACATGTGACCTTTGACCCCATACTTACTGCATGGTAGAAGTTTGCGAGTCCACCGAGCGAGAGTAGCCTCAGACAAGTCTCCAGGTTGCCTGTCCTGACACTGGAGTGGAGTTGCTGCAGGGAGGGAGATGGAAAAAGATTTAGGTTAGAGCGTCTCATGAAAAATGCAATTTATCTGTAAACAATCAGTCTACTTAAAACGTATATAACTTTGAAATACTAGTGAACATGCAAATCAACTATTTTTATGCGAAGTTAGATATGGGCCCCATTTTAGAAAGAGTTGCGATTGATCCAAATCAATCGCAAGTCCTCCAATCAATCGCAAGTTTGCAGTCTCCTATCTCTTAGATGTACATCTTGGGGATTGATATCAATCGCAAATAAGTTGCAATTGATATCAACTCTTCGTAAGACGGGCCCTGAACTGACAATGAAATATCCCTATCATCGTGAAATTATTTTGGTGCTTTCATTGACACGAAGGAGGTCAGGAGGGAGGTCAGGAAGGGGTCACAAAGAGGTCACAAAGGAGGTCACAAAGAAGGTCGCGGACTTACTCTGCTAAGATCCTTGACTGTGGCCTCGTCACCATCCTTGAGCCTGTGGACAAAGTCTAACCTTTGATACTTGGCTCGGATGAAGTCAGACTTGAATGGGCTGTGGACAAAACAAACAAAAACGTACATGTAAGTTGTGGATTAAAGCAACATTCTTGACACTAGGAATTACATGTAGTACTATGACACATCCAGAGGGATTTTACCCTGAACAGGGGAGAGTTTCACAAAGACCAAAAATGGACTTTAAGTTGGACTGAACTATGGCAGGCCGTTCAAGCCACTTTTTTGCTGATCTTTGCTCTCACCATTTACTGGCATTGGTCTATCAAGGGAAGTACAAATCATGGTCACCAATCTACAGAATTTTAATTTGTTGATAGTTCATTATCCAAGGAAAAAATATTATCTAAAGATCATAGCGGAGAGAGTAACTAGTGGCATGAATAACCTGCCATAGTTAAGTTCAACTTAAAGTCGAACTTAGTCTTTGTGAAACACCCCCCTAGTCAATATTTATGGTTCATACAGTACCTCAGACATGGCCTGACAAACTGAAATTTCATTTGTTGGACATCTATAAACTGGCAGCTATCAAGCTTCAATATGTTTGAGGAAAGTGTCTGAACCATCTGGTTGTTCAAAATGACACAGGTACACAGTCATGTAAATATATTTTGGATGAGACATAGAATTAACTCTTTATGAATTAATCCACCTGCTAAACTTGTTAAACAATAATATTGACAGTCAATTTATATTACTTCATGTCGAACATGAAGCACTCACAACTTCAAGGCGTAAACTTGAGCAAGGTCCAATCTTGTTTAGAATATCAAAGATCTTTCTGTTAATGATTTCCATTTAGATTGTAAAACCAGCAACACAGCCACACCAACTATAAACCAAACGATAACTTGGGGATAGCGTAAGTTTTTCGTCAGTCTGGCGTCCATCTTTTCACTGCGACTGGGGCATGAAGTATATTACATTATTCATTTAGTTATTTATTTCTTCATCTATCTATTTATTCATTTATTCATTCATTCAGAATGAATGAATTTACAGTCAAACCTGCTTTAGTAACCACCCTTCTACAAAGACCACATTTCTTGTTTCTCTTGAAAATGGTTTCTCATTGAAACATGTACTAAAGAAACCTGTCTACAAAGACCACTTTTTGTGTTTCCCTTGGGCAGTCGCTACAGACAGGTTTGAGTGTATTTATTACTTATTATTTATTCATTTATTATTTATCCATTTATTATTTATCCATTTATTATTTATTATTTATCCATTTATTATTCATTCATCTATTATTCATTAATTTATTATTTATTCATTTATTATTCATTATTCATTATTCATTCATTTACATGTATTACAGTATTCATTTATCATTAATTCATTATTATTTATCCATTTATCCATCCATCTATTCATCTATTTGATCACTTGGAGGAACTCTTAGCACAAATGAAAGAAAGAGAAGAAAAAATCAAAGAGTAAAGACTGAAAATACTAACTTGACATGTACAATGTACATGCACAAGTAAATGTAGATATCTGTACTTTAACTACAGAAATGTCAGTCAGGGACACTCTCTTCGTTTCAAACTATCAATGTCCAAGCCCCACCTTTGAGGTGCGTAACTTCATTATGGGAGGAATTCCTTCTTCTATTATACCAGTTACTAGCAGGACCCGCGGAAATCCGCGGGATTCTAGAGGGGGCGGGTTGTAAATAGATATATAGAGACCATGGGCGTCAATCCTTACGCAATACCTATTGTTCAGGGGGGATGATCTATCATCCCCCCTGAACAATAGGTATCACGTAAGGATTGACGCCCATAATAGAGACTCTCTAAATTAAAACCACCAAGAACTTTATTTGCCATTTATAAAAAAAACAAAAAACGATCCAACTCTACCGGTAGTTATTCTTTAAGCCTCTTTCACACTGGAACTGCGTAGAGTTGCGTAGTGTGGCGTACCGACTACGCAGAAATTAGGCTGCGTATTAATGGAAAAATGTTGCTTCCCTGTAGTCCCTGCATAGGTTATGCATAGGCTAGTGTACATGTTTGCTTATATTGGCTTACGGTTGCATACTGTGTGGAAAGCTTTTACTGCTTTGTCGATCTGGCGTAGGGTAGCGTACTGTTGCGTAGGCATGGCGTACAGTAGCGTAGTGTTGCGTGAAAAGGCGTACTTTCTGCGTCGATTTTCTACGCCGAAAGTACGCGGAAAAAATTAAGCATGTTGAATTGTTTGCGTCCATCAGCATGTAGTAACGTAGGCCAGCGTAGTTGGTACGCAACACTACGCAAATCTACGTAAGGACCCCACGCCAATTAGTGACCTGCCAGTGTCACAAATAAAGTATTAAAAATATGCTCGTCTGACCCTAATTAAATGCCTAAAACCTAGCTGTTAGCTTTCGGGGTTTTACGGCCCCTTGAAACCCGTGGACCCACGCCTATAAACACTCAACTCGCTGCGATCTAACCCTAATTAAATGCCTAAAACCCTTGAGCTTTCGGGGTTTATGGCCCCTTGAAACCAGTAGACCCCACACCTATAAACACTCAACTCGCTGCGATCTAACTGACCCCCCCCCCCCCCCCCCACTTTGAAAAACGTTTCTTGGAGTCTGCATGTAACATGTAAGAATGGTGCAAGGTGATGCAGATTTTTTTTCAGCACTCCCCCCCCCCCCCCCCCCCCCCACTCAAACGATTTTACTCATTTCGCAACTGACTGTTTTGCAATGCATGAAGTAACATACTTCTGTCTGGTTGATATTGAACTATTAATATGTAAATGTACAATTCATAACCTTGTTTAAATTTTCTTTTAATTACTGTAGATATAAGACAATATTAGTCTCCGATGGCTGAGTAGACGTAGAGTCGTATAGTTGTATAGCTGAGAGTCGTATAGTTGTATAGCTGTATAGGTGTACAAAATTATGGCACTTCGGCCCGCACGCTGTTGTGTTGATGGGTTCTTCGATGGATGGATAGACGTACGTATGTGTAATTGTATAGTTGTACGATTATTGGCCTGCTTAGCCCCCCATACTCTTCGACTCTACCTCACTCAGCCAAAGTACTCATGTTTATTCATGAGGCCGCTAGCCTAGCGTTACTTCGCACCTTCGTACGCTACCCACGGCCGACACAGCGCAGCAGCACTGTGTGTACTGTATGTATGTGTGTGTAGACTGAAGGCAGCTTGCGACTGAACTGTCAGTCCAATGGTTTTCTTGTGAAAACTTTCCTTTAGAAAATGATGATCGAAATTCAGTAAGCATGGCCGTAATAATCACAAAATAAGCTTTGATTTCATACCTCCATTCACGAAAACTATATACAAATCGCGGCAATCATGATGGAAATAGGCCTTTAAGTTTGGACGTCGACGGGAAGCCCCGTGTATCATGGTATCTTTCTGGCTTGTGCAGCGCTACTACAAAGGATATCCTATAGAAAGATGCTTTACTCGGGTAATCCCGACCCTGTGCATCGTGCATTTAATACACAACTTAATGTGAGTGGATAGTCATCGGTCGTGTGTCGACGGATGTAATGTTGAATATCCATGAGGTATCTCTGTCGTCACGCATATCCTGCATTATGCATATCGCGTCTGTTTTCGCCCTGGACGTCGACACGGAGGAGGACCTCGGGCGGAGTATAGCCAATTCCACAGAGTAGACTCTCCCGCGGACGATGGCACCGGGCACGGGTACCCCGAGGGGAGGGTTCAGGAGGAGATAGCTGCACCAACTTGGGTCGGGTATCTCATTAAAAAACAATAGAATACAAAGGCTCGTCGAGACGTCGCGCCCCCCGCGGAGCCTTAGCGTATTACTTATATAGATTCACTCAATTACCCCGGATATTGCTAATTTTCTTCTTTCTGCTACTGAGTATTGACCACAGTCATAATTTACAAAATATTTTAACAAATAGTTGGACTTTTTAGACAGCACTGTGTAAACATTTTCCATAAACGGAAATCCAACATCAAGTCTAAGACATGTACATGTATTGACACTACAACCAGAACTCTACATTCATTTTTTTCTCACAAAATTTGTGTATGACTGGATGACAATGAAAGTGAGATTTAGATTTTGAAAGAATTTTGATTTATGGCAAACTGAGGACAAGAGCACTCTGAAGCACTCATATGTTTCCAAAGCTCGTTCAAAGTTCTTTCCATGCACGTTCAAAAGTATGTGTACATGTACATTGTATATATAATTGTATGTACATTTAAGCTATATTTTTCTAACTCAGGACACTCTTCACATGTTTGTTCATTTGCCAACTGACTAAGAGTAAGATTCATATCTTTAAAAAAATATATTTAAAGGCTGATCCCATTTGACCACTAACAATAAATATGACATTATTAGGGATTGGGTATCTTTGTCTCAGATTATAAAACAAAATCCTGAATTTTGTTCATGCTGCAATAATAATTATAAACCTTGAGGTCAGTCAAGAACCCCTTGACATTACAAGCTGATCGCCTGTCTGATTATCAAGATATTTATGATTGGAAATTGAAATTTAGAAATTTGTTTTCCTAACCGTTTTCATATCACTAGTCTATTGGGTAAATGAGTATGGTAAAACCGATCACTCAAAGATTTTTTTTATTTTTTGAGGCACTTCATGATCATTTGGAGTGCAATTTTTTAAGGGCTTCAATATTATACCATATATTATACCAGGGTCATTCACATCAGGTTTAACATTGTTAAACGATGCCTTTAATTATTCATGATTTGATCTCAGGAAGAGAAATCTATTGAATAGTGTACTGTATGGCAGTATGCCAATGACCTTAACAAATCGAGGAGGAAAGCTAATAAGCATACTGTAACATCAGCACAAACTGGAGAAATGGGACCTGTAAAACGTCCAATATCTAATTTGTCAACGTAAAACTCAGGCGACCACACTGGGAATTATTTATTTTAGACTAATCATTATCTTGTTAATTATAGATCAAATGTTATGGGCCCTTTAGCCTAGAGAAGTACATTATTTACTGCCAATATTTTTTGGATAAAATGTGCAATGCAGCCTTAAACAGAAAGAAAGTACATGTACACTTCATATCTCAGTGTATTTCTCTGATATTGAGACAAAAATTAGTCACAAGTGTTCTGTATGTTTTTACAAAAGGTTCTCATTTCAAGTTATCAAAATATGACGCTTTTGTCACAAGATTTGATTTCATTATTTCCGACACAGGCAGACAATCTAAACAATCTGATATTACATTTAAAGGGATGGCAGATTAACATACTTCCTGTTACAGAGAAAAGAAGGGGGGAAATATGACTTTATGATGCAATGATGCACAATGTCTGTCTACATATACTTTGGTGCACAAGCCCTGTACACTTTGAAGTTTGAGAAGTAATTTTGCAATCACCTGATTGGAAAGGTACAGTACATTAAAAACTATGTCAAATCTACATCATTAATTGCCAGATTCCTTGCTGTCTTCATCATTTACCCCCCCCCCCCCCCCCCTCTGTTTCAAAATGGTTATCAATTAATTATTTATCTATTTTATTCGTTTGAATTTAACCCCCCCCCCCCCCTCTATTTCAAAATGGTTATCAATCTATTTTATTTGTTTGAAATTAACTTATTTCTTTATTAGAGGAGGGGGGGCAATGTAAAGTGTACGTACTGTACAGCTGTATGAACTTGTTATGCTTTATTATCTATTAAAATATTACTGAAGGCAATACAAACCAATACATTGACTTGAATACAGAATAACAGTAGTCTGCAGACTTTGTTCTAATGGTATTTGCTGGTACTTAGATTCGGTCTACATCATTTACAGTCACATAAAATGTAGGAGACATGCAAGCCCCATCCTCGAAACTTCCCCCAAACTGACATTGACATTTCCAAAAGCCGCAGTCTACCGCCTTTATTAGCCTGTCGTTTGGCGAGCAAGCCCGCCAGCGCTGATTGACCAAATCTAAATTTAGGTCCCCAGGGTGAGTCTATGTTGCATGCATCCCCACACTCACTCCCCGAGTCAATTCAATTTGTGATATTTTCCATTTAATCCTGCCTCACTCATTGCATTAATCAAGTGTTCAACAGAGGAAGAAATCACTTATGGGAGGATGCTCGGTCAACGCACACAGAATTAAATAGGCTTGCCCATGTGTACAATTTACAGATTTGGACTCTTTAAAAACTGTCAAGCTCTGACGAAGGAAAGCAAAAATGGATTTATTTTAACTTTGGCTTCATGAAATCCTTAAATAATCTAAAACAAAAGAAATATCAAGAAACAATATTTTTTTTTAATGATACAACCTAAGAACGAACATTCTAAAACTTTCAGGTTATACAACAAGTCTAAATTAAAAAAAAAAATCTACATGTACTTTTAAAGAAGTTACAATAAAGTTCATTTAAGTGCATTTGAAGACGAAATCAAACCATTTCTTGCATCAGAATACTTCTTATAAATCTACATGTAGGAACATACAGATTGGTTCTGATTATTTAAAGAGAAGGTTGAGTTCTGGGAAGAGGTGAACAATAATTTGTGAGCGTTACCATTCTTATTATGCAAGTGTGTAAGAACATCAGATAAGACATGTTCCCTGAAAAGCATGGCTCTTCAAATGCCTTCATATTCTAAATATGTCATGTAACATCGTAAAAATCCAGGGACAGATTTTTACGCCACGTGTTCGTGTAGTCCCATATACATCTTTCCGTGTACAGTGTTTGTAACTTTACGAAGACTTGGCCAAATTTCTTATCATTTTGATGATTCCAGAACCTTGCAATACACACAAATTCTTATGCTAGATGATCAAGCTTTCTGGTCGATTCCACACCGTTTCTTTCACAATGCAATCGCATGACCATAACTCAACTTCATCTTTAACCCATTTTACAGTACCAAACAAAATACAAAGTACATTGTATGGATTACAAGCAAATAAAGGTATCTCTATGACCTGATTGACAAAACTAGGGCAATTTAAAACCTTCCTTTGTAGTTTCTCCCTCTTACTTATTGATAATCTTTTTTAATCTTGAAAATACATTTTTATAAAGGACAATGCACCTTTAAAGGTCATATTCATTTTCATTCTTCAGACTACATGCATAATATCCATGAGTCATCTCCATGCAACCGAGAATCTTGTACAGTTCACAGAATATTTAAACAATAACAAGGAAAGAGGAAGTCTTAAAGGGTATTTTTCCCAATCAATGGAGTAATAGTAATAATAATGATATGCATTTGTATAGCGCCGTCTATCTAGATAATTCTATTCCTAGCTGCACTATTGAATTATTACCCTGGCTTTAGCGTACCTGCCAATAAAGCGGTCTAGCATTTCAAGGAATTAATTCCTACCAGGTACCCATTTACTTCACCTTGGCCGAGTGTTGCAAATGTAGATTAATGCCTTGCTAAAGGACATGAGTGCCGCAGCGGGACTCGAACCAGGACCTTTGAATGTCAAGTCAAGTGCTTAAACCACTCGACTATGACAATTCTGTAATAAAGTAAATAGTATTTTAAAAAATGACTTGTGTTTTGTAATCATATTGTACATGTACATGTATATGTATATGTACAATGTACTTCCTACTAAAATTTTGGTGGATGGGGTAGGTGGGATAAAAACTGTTTTGGGGTCTGTTTTGGGGGCTCTGAGCCTCTAACGGCCGCTAAACGCAATGGACATGGTCGGGTTGATAACCATTTTGGCAATTAGCATAGACGGTCTTTAACTTTGAGGGATTGAATCTTAGTTACAGGTGAAACAGGGTGACTACATGTACAGTGTAATTTGAGACAGGCTCCCAGACTGAAAGTAAAATTAGTTACACATTTAAAATTCAGTCAAAGGAATTGTGTGTGTAATACTTCATATTTTTGTACAGGGTGTAATGCACATGTACATGTACATGCTTACAGTACATGTACATTTTAGAACTGCTGCAATCATGTCAACATGTTGCACACAAACAACATGGAATCTCTAAAGAGCAGAGATGTTTGCATTCAGTATTCAGAGACAATGAACCGATTCGATATCCCATGTACAATGAAAATACAGTTTCAGGACAGTGACTCACAGCTCTATCAGAATAATTCACAATACTTGACACAAACACAATTCAACTGCATGGCTCCCAGACTGTATTAAAATTAGATTATTAGATACCCTTTTTAAAAGTCAGTCAAAAGGAATTGTGTGAGTGCAATACTCTTTTAGTTTTGTACATCGGTGTAATGTACATACACTGTACATGTACTCGCATGTAAATTTCAGAATGATCATTTTCATCATCCTGCTTGAATCATGTCAAAGTAATATCTTGCACACAAACAAGATGGGATCTCTAAAGAGCAGAGATGTTGCATTCAGTATTCAGATAAAATTAACCCACTTGATATCTACATGTATACCTGTATACAATGAAAATCAGTTTCAGGACAAGATGACTCACAGCTCTATCAGAATAAATCACAACACTTGACACATACACATTTCAACAAGTGTATGTATTAGGTATAATAAAAGAGAAGCATGTCAACATAATGTACATGTTCTAAAATTGTTTGCATTTAGTGCCATAAAATAACATGCACTGGTTGAGACATAACCAGTCATTAACAACCCCCCCCCCCCCCCCGCCTTAAAATGTGTACCTTACAATAAATAACTCAAGAAATGAGAAATGCACCTGACTAATGTGAAAGACAAACCTTTTACGCTAAACCTCCCCACCCCCATCCCCATTACAAAACCCTGCTGGACCTGCCTCAAAGCACAGTACATGTGCAGTATATTGTACATGTGTATGGATGAACCTCTCCTCCTAGAGGAACTTACAGGAAATCATTCCTAAAAGATCTAGAATTGCAAGGTTTGAATGCATACTCAAAGGATAGATAAATGATAACAAGTTTGCAAGGTTTGAATGCACACTTGAAGGATAGATAAATAATGAAAAGTTTGTAAGGTTTGAATGCATACTTGAAGGATAGATAAATGACAACAAGTGTGCAAGGTTTCAATGCATACTTGAAGGATAGATAAATGATAACAAGTTTGCAAGGTTTGAATGCATACTTGAAGGATAGATAAATGATGACAAGTTTGCAAGGTTTGAATGCATACTCGAAGGATATTAGGTAAATGATGACAAGTTTGCAAGGTTTGAATGCATACTCGAAGGATATTAGGTAAATAATTACAAGTTTGCAAGGTTTAAATGCATACTCAAAGGACAGATAAATGATAACAAGTTTGCAAGGTTTGAATGCATACTCAAAGGATAGATAAATAATGACAAGTTTGCAAGGTTTGAATGCATAATTGAAGGATAGATAAATGATAACAAGTGTGCAAGGTTTGAATGCATACTCGAAGGATATTAGGTAAATGATAACCAGATTGCAAGGTTTGAATGCATACTAACAAGTTTGCAAGGTTTGAATGCATACTCAAAGGATATTAGGTAAATGATAACAAGTTTGCAAGGTTTGAATGCATACCCGAAGGATAGATAAATGATAACAAGTTTGCAAGGTTTGAATGCATACTTGAAGGATAGATAAATGATAACAAGTCTGCAGGTTTGCAAGGTCCTTGGGATGATATTTGCAATATATATTAAGTTTGTCAATCATTTTTTTTAAAATGCATTGAAAGGTATGAATGCATACTCACTGGACAGAGTCCTTGGGGTTAGGTTTCCTTTTGCCACTCCTGACTTGCGATGGATCCAGAAGTGAATGCTCCCAGATAGAGTTGGCTCCATTGCTAACAAGAGCATGCACCATCTAAAAGAAAGAAGAAGGAAGAGATAGGAATAACTGGCATATGCAATTATATAATCGTACAACGTCAATCTACATGTACATGTACTTTCCATCGACCATTGTTCTGCATTTACTTTGTTATACTAAGCAAATTCTTAACTCTGACCTCACTATTAAATACACGGAACCCTAAACCTATTAGCTTGAGTACATGTAAGTCCCTTTCCTTACATATTTGGAGAACTAAAGCTCAAGATTCAAGATATTTTATATAACTATGACCATTAATACATGTACATACCACAAACAATAATACAAAATACAGTATGGAACATGGAAAAGACCCATAGAAAAGCAAAAATCTTATGAGAAATGAGAGAGGAACAAATATATTAAAACAAATTGAATTAAATGTTGCTAGAGCATGTTGGATCATCAATTATATATAATAGCAGAACCCAGGCGCGTACGCAGGGGGGGGGGGGGTGGGGGTTTGGGGTTAAAACCCCCCCCCCCCTTTTGAGTGTTTTTTTTTTTAATAAAAAATTATTTTTAAAAAAATTCTTATAGATGACCTAAAAAAGATGACCCCCCCCCCCCCCCCCCCCCCCCAATTGAACGGAATGTCGACAAGTCAAAATTTAAAATTTTGGGAACTCCCACCCCCCAAAAAATGTCCTCTTACCCCCCTTCCCCCCCCCCCCCTCCTGCTTATTCAGCGGCTGGCTGAGTCGTTGCGAAATTTTTGGCCCGATTTTAAAAACCTCACCCTTGAAAAAATCCTGCGTACGCCACTGGCAGAACCTATACAGTGTATGAAGACCACCCAAGGTAGACAAGGAAAGATGGTTTTTATAAAAAAATATACTGTCAATGTTCCTTTAATAGCGGTAATTTCAATGAGATTATCATTATTTATTCAAGAGATACAAAAGATGTAGTTTGATAGGTGGGTTTTCTATTCATGAAGATAGTCATAAAGCAGGTTATATTGTACTTTCAACGTTTGCAGACATTTTTCAGACAGTTTTGTTAACAGATTTTGTTCTGAAATGAGTTCCTCATTTTGAGCACAACATCTTGAAAGACCCACAAATGCTTTTTTTCTGCTGTTCCAACTGGATGTTGATAAAGAAATAATTTAAGAGAAGTTGAAGTGTTTACCTCATAGAGGCTGCGTGGCCAAGGGGGTCCATGAGTGAGGGCTCTGATCTGAGATATGTGCCTTCCAAGACTCCTGTGAACACTGCAGCACTCGTCACAGATCAGGACACCTCGATTCAGGGAGGCCCATCCTGGATCTAAACACAAGAAATAAGGACCGTGTTAAAAAACAATAAGCACGGTGAAACCTGTATATGTACATGTACATGTATACCACTCGACTGATACAAGGAAATAATAGACAGGTGGCCCTTATGTATTGTAATTTTATATGTAAACAATCTTGAATCATATTACCCCCCACGATTATGAAACATCCAAACTCTTTGAATTTCTGGTAATAGCACTTCACTCAACTTCTTTACAAAACATCTGTACCTCTATGATTCTTACCTTTTCCTTAGACTAAGGGACAGCAAATTGTTCCTCTCTTGAATAAATCAAGTTATTATTATCGTGTCTATTATTATTTAGTTTCTATCATTATCATCATCATCATCATCATCATCATCATCATTATCATCATCATCATCATCATCATCAAAGATCACTCACTAGCTGTCCAAATGTATCAGATCAGATTATTATATGTTGCTGTATTATGATACCTGTTTCAACTGTAGACTGAATATCTGTAGTCCCCCCAAAAAAAAATTCTGGTGACATCATACATGTAGATTTCATGTTTACATGTACATCAGTTTATAAATAGAGGCATTCATACATCATGTACAGTGTACATGTACACTCATCATACAAGTGCATGTGTACAAGTGCATGGATGTATTATCACAGTCATTAGCTACACCTGTACATGTAAGTCTCATCAGATCACAATGTTGAATCATTGATACCGTATGTACATGTACATGTACAGTATGAAATTTAATTTGCTCATTAGCCATCGTTTTCAATCTCAGCCACAGCATGAACCTCCTCTGTAACAACAATCAAGATGCTCAGAAGAAAAAGACAATTTCAGAGTGCATTAACCTGTTGACAGCCGTCTCATTCCAATACATACATGTGTACAGGAATGACCTAGCTCCTGCACTCAAGGGGTTAATTGCCTGGTTCATGTTGTACATGAACATACACATGAAAGGCATTATGTTGGGAATACTGGAGATGGTGCACACAATTTGCCAGGCTCAATAGTACGTGAATGACCATAGCTATACCCGAGCCATACCCAAGTCATACCAACAAGATCAACACCAGACCGCCAAGAGACTGAACAATGGATACCCCCCTTTAGGCCACAGTTGAATATGTTGCCCATTGGTCATAGTGGAGTCGGTTTAGAGGCGTGACTGGGATATCATACATGTACGTACAGTGACACGTGTACAGTGCATGTCTTCAGAACTAAGTTACAAATTGCCAGCATCAATATTTCCCAGAAGAACTACAGTATGCTTTATGGTGGGCTCAACACTATTAAAGCAATGGCACCTGGGACACATGGGCGACCACAATCTACAACCGGACCCCCAAAATGTCAACATTCTTACATAAAGCTCTATGCATACACTGTATGTACATGTAGAGTGACAGACCCAAAGATTTCAATCCGGACCCCCAGTGAAACATATTTAGTGTGGAGCTCTGATGTCTTTACATGTTCAATATCAATTATACAGTGTGTAAAAGTGGTATGCACTTTCAATTTATGTTCATGTTCATGAACCCTATGCTTCACCACATGAGTCTCAACAAGGGAACTTAATATTACACTTTACAGTAGTTCTGAAAATGTAAATGTACACTGTATGCAGGAGGGATATTTTTAGTACTATCCAAAAATTGATTTAGGAACTGTCGGGATACATGCAATTTAATTTCTGCGCAATATCCTGTGTCTTTCTTGTTAACATTTCATGGCCATAAATTAACTATGAAGAGAATATTCAATGTACATTGTTAACACCCAGCACTGACAAGATGAACACACTTAATCACTGGAAGAAAAAAAAATGGTACACAAAATTGATCGGTAAGTTAGTTCACGAAGAATTTTAAAAAGAGCACTAGAGAAAAAAGTTAAAATATCAATACTACAAAGATCACATCATCATCATCATCACCCTCTCCAATCTCCACCATCATCATCCTCTCCATCAAACTCATCATCATCATCCTCATCCTCATTCTCCTCATTGTCATCCTCATCCCCATCTTTATCATCATCATCATCATCATCATCATCCTCATCCTCATTCTCCTCATTGTCATCCTCATCCCCATCTTTATCATCATCATCATCATCATCATCATCATCATCATCATCCTCATCATCATCATCATCATCATCATCATCATCATCCCCATCTTCATCATCATCATCATCATCATCATCATCATCATCCTCATCATCATCATCATCATCATCATCATCATCCTCATCATCATCGTCATCCTCATCCCCATCTTTATCATCATCATCATCATCATCATCATCCTCATCATCATCATCCTCATCAACATCATCATCATCATCATCATCATCCTCATCCTCCTCATCGTCATCCTCATCCCCATCTTTATCATCATCATCATCATCATCATCATCATCATCATCACAATCACCATCATCATCATCATTATCATCATCATCATCATCATCATCATCATCACAATCACCATCCTCATCCCCATCTTTATCATCATTACCATCATCATCATTATCATTATCATCATCCTCATCCTCATCCTCATCCTCATCTTTATCATCATCATCATCATCATAAAATGTTCAAAAAGTAAAATGTTCGCAGTACCCAAGTACTGTCCATGTACATGTACATATGTAGGACAAAGGGAGTCATGACTATCACCGTAACCAAATCACATGAATTCACAGACATGCAAGTTGTATCAAATAAATGCTTTCACAATTCACAGCATTTCAAAATACTACTTACATGTATGTTGTACAGTATTACAATTTCATTTGACATTCTCAATTATATTTGTCTAGCACTGAACCCACTCAAAATGAAAGAAGAAGGTGAATTCCAATCGCTGTTGAACAACTTTGGGAACATGCCAGACTTTGAGAGCCAGAAAGGGATTAGGAGTTCAACAGATTCCTAGTTTCTTGTCTAGCAGCGTGTCCACACACAAAACAATTTATCCCGAAACTCTATAACGAAACGTCGTATAAAGAATCATAATATAAAATTTCAAAGTGTCCACACACAAGAAACGTCATATAAATAATCATCGTATAAATTCAAGGATGTCCATAAACAGAAGAAAGTAATCCTGAAACTCTACAGTCTGGACTCCTTTCGCTCGAGGTCACGTTAAGCCCCGCCCAGTTAGTTACACTAGTTACACTCCCCCTGTCCACACACAACATTTTCCGTGATTAGGTGTGATTAGGCGTGATTCTTTATTGAGTTTCAGTTCGAAACGATGCCCAAACCTGCGTTTCGTTAGACTAGTTTCGTTATACGACGTATCGTTAGTGAGCGTCCACACACACAATTTCATCGTAAAACTATCGCGAAACGGTATAACTAATCATGGAAAATGTTGTGTGTGGACAGGGGGAAGATCTTTTAAACAAAACTGAGGATGGGACTCCACGTTTACTACTTGATATTAATTTTCTTTCTGATATTCCCGGTACTAAAAATGGACTTGAGTTAAATGTTCAGAACAAAATCTCTCAACATGTTAAATTTAAAGTTTTGATTCAGGCTCAAAGCAATTCGAAATCTAGGATTGTTATTGTCTTATTGTCTAGATGTTGTCAGATTCTTCTTTACTTCATTTCAAACCAACAATAGCGAGGCAGACCGATAAAGAAGCAGAAGAGGACATTACAGAACATTACTACGAGTTGTACTTGATCTTTAATAGTAGGCCTATACACTTTAATAGTTTTACATCTATAGAATTTACGAACCTCTTGCTCTCAGCAGAAGAGGTGATCCCATCAAATCTCCAAAGCACCAGTCATTACCACTGGAATTTTAATGCAGTCGGCATCAGATGCGTTTAAGGTCAATGACGCATCTGCAAAGCAATTGCAATTGTCTGTTGCTCATGCTCTGTATTAGGGCAATGATAAAAGTGCATCTCCATGTACATGTACTTCATACAAGGATGGTGGGAGTTTAATGAGAAATTTTGCTTGAATATTTAACCCTTGCAGTGCTATTAAAACTCATACATGTACCACAGATGTGAATTCATGACAGAGGTTTTGTTGTTGATTTTGTTTTGTTTTTATTGTCCGTTGTTTTTATTGTTCTTGGTTTTGTTGCTTTGTATGGGTTTTATTAACAATTCTTCTTCATTGTTCATTTTGATACATCTACAAAACAGTAAGTTACAACAGAACAGCTTAGTGTGAATCAAACATTGATAATTGGATCATGATCAATCTTTTTTTTTTCAATAAGAAGATGAAAGAGGGAAGAATAAAGATCTCACGAATGCAATTTTAAGGATACCAGTTGGTTTTAACCCCCCAGACTGAAAAAGTCCCAATCAAGTTGGATCCCTCTACATTCCATAAGATATCAAGCCTGAAAAGATCTTGAAACAGAGAGATAACAACAGGACCTGAAATCAAGCCTTAAAGCTAGAATCCCTGTGTCATTTTGATTGCAGACCACATCCACACTTTCTGCGTAGTTTGTGAGAAAAGTGGCAGTTACCGGGATGAGCCCTCTGTGTGACAGATCAATGTTTCCTATCTACCGTACATATAATATGGTACATTGTAGATTCACTCACTGACTCACGTCATCATCTACATCTACATGTGTTTTGTGTAAGTACAGAATTGTGAAGCATACCACAATGACGTCATCATTTTTTTTTAAAGCTGCGGTTTAGCATCACATACATGTACATGTATCTGAACTCCAATTACATAAACATGCATGTGTGTATAATACATGTATGTAAAGTCCAAGTTACCAAGTATCACGCATTAGGCGTGACATCACACATTTCGAGGGTCTGAAAATGCTCTTACGCACGATGCGGGCGCTAGCCTTATACGTGTGTTATACCCTCACACGCGCGCTCGCGCCGAATCATTAAAATGTCATGCATTGCCGATCTTTGAACTTGGCGTCTCTGAAAGTCGTTATCCTGTTTTTCGACAAATTTTAAAAAGCAGATTTTCAAGATTAGCTTGGGATGACTTTGTACATACTGTGAGTCCAATTTGACATCCTTGATCATTGATCTACACAGTACAGTGTATGTATGGGGTAAGTACAGATTGGTGGAGCATACATGTAGATCCGTTTCTGATGCATGAACAGAAGTTGGCAGCACGGCACCTTTTTAAATTTTAAGGGGAAGGATTAAAATATTTCTCCATATTACTAGATTTAGATTAATCAAATTTCTGCATATTTCCCTGAGACTTAAAGCTTCAGTCTCAAATATTGTCGGTTGAACAGCTGAGATTACGGCTGGCTCCACTGACCGCTTCTATACATAGACTGAAGTGTGGCATAAGGGGTAGTGGAGGCAATGCAATTTGGTTTGTGTGTGACAGATTAGCTGAACTTCTGAAGGCAAGTCCTTATTTTTCAACTTTCTGCATTGATTTTTATGTTGTTATATAGATTACAAGGATAATCTCATTTATGCAGACTATCCTTATTCTCGGACCAGCGTCCCTACTTATTACTTAGTAGGGTAGAGTGCCCAGTATTCGGTCACTTAAGGGGAAATCACCAATATTTTGAATTCTTACCTCTTTTATTTGGCAATCTACCCATCAAAAGAAAAGGAATTTATTCCTCTAACAGGATTTTATAGTCACTCATAATATAGAATAATGATAAGCAAATTACTTCCAAAAGAAGACGAAGCATTTTTCTGCCCAAGATTTGGTCGCACCAAATAAAATTCGGTCACACGATTTGTGCGTGGTATCTCCGTTGCCAAGGAGCGAAGCGTATTTGCGCACTATTTTCACACAATTGCGCGATAAAGCATTGAATGACAATGCGTTGACCGAATACTGGCTGAGCGATACCGCATGGCAAGGGTATCGTATAAATACCTCTTACACATCAGCAAGTGCGTCATTTGCAAATTCGCTGCGATGGAGTGAACCCGGAAGTGATTCTCTTCACACACATACTAAATTCATTGCGACAGCACACGTAGTTGTTTCGCAATAGACTGCTACATATGGCTATGCATGTTAGCGCATGTGCTAAGAGAAGGCGGAAGTGCAGAAAGTTGTGCGACACTGACCAATTTCGAGCTAAGTTGGAGATCTTTCTGGGGCCCTGAATCTGATTTAATTTTGAGAGTTAAGAAAAGTTGTTCAACTGCCTGATTTGTGCAATTTTCGTGGCTCATAAAATATTTTTTAAATTGTTACAGCTGTTGAAACGGCTGTCTGACCGAATACTGGGAATGGACCGAATACTGGGCGCGCTACCCTAGATCTATTGCGACTCAACGACAACGGATTTAACTTAACTGAAGAACGGGGCGGGAATGGATTGGATGACAAATGTCATTCCCATTATTAAACATGAATCATGGTAGATAGGCTAATTAATTATTAGACCGTTATTTCTGTCTTATTTTTCTTCTATTTCAATTAATCCAATGACAAGTTCTTATTTTTACAGCAGTCCCATACATCCATTTTCCCGTCAACAGGCAGAGGCAATTCAAGGGTCTGGGGCGCGGCATTAGTTATGAGCGGCCACGGCTGGTGCGATTCGCCATCCAGACTTCTGGCTACAGGAGCAGCCAGCGGACGGCCATGGCTCGGGGAGAACACTCGTCTCTAAAAACATCCAGCATTTTCACTACATATCGTTCACTTTTATTATTTATCAAAACATGTACAAATTACTTTGTCCATATATTCTAATCAAGGTATATGAATCTTACCTGTCATAGCACAATCGGCACATATTTCTCCCGGACTTCGTTGTTTTCCTCGCATGTTTGAAACGATTCTGATAGAAATCTCCTTGAGACTTCGCGGAAGTAGTCTTCACATCACCGGAAGTTGTTTTGATTTCGTGAGCTAGCTTGATTGAGCGCGCGTGCGCGCGCCTGTAGCTAGCTGTGCCACTGAGGTCAGAGAGCTGTGCATGTGTGCGGTGAGATGAATGACCCCCCCCCCCCCCCCCCCCCCCCCACCCTTAAAAAAAAAAATTATCACCTTCGCCTCCCATGGCATTTAACTCTTTTGACATTTGTTCAGTGGGGGATGAATGAATAGATCATCCCCCCTAAACAATAGGTATTACGTAAGGATTTACGCCCATGTGTGCAAGGGCAGAGGCGGCCCTCCCGGGGGGGGGGGGGGGGGGGGCACAGTGCCCCCCACTTTTTCAGATACACCAAAAGTGCCCCTTTTTACATAGGAAAAGTGCCCCTTTTATTTTGTAAGAAGTGCCCCTTTTACATAGGAAAAGTGCCCCTTTTACTTTGACAAGTGCCCCTATTACTTAGTAAACGTGCCCCTTCCCCCTTTTCACCTCTGACGAGTGCCCTTTTTATTTTTGACACGTGCCCCTTTTCCTTCGACATGTTCCCATTTTCCTTTGCGATAAGTGTCCATTTTCCATTCTCATAAATCTTGAAATTATCTTCAATAAGTGCCATTTTTAATCTCTAGTAAGTACCTTTTTTCAGGTACGAGAAGTGCCCCTTTTCACTTTTGATAAGTGCCCCCTTTACCTCTGATAATTGCCCTATTCAAAACTGAGAGGTGCTCCTTTTACTTTGACAACTGCCCCTTTTTTCCTTTGTAAGAAGTGCCTCTATTCTCCTTTTAATAACTACCCCTTTTTTAAACTCCGATGAGCACACCTTTCATTTTAACATGTGCCCCTTTTATTTTCTAATAAGTGCCCCTTTTCCTTATAAGTGCCCCCATTAAAAAGAGAGAGCTCCTTCCCCTTCTCATAACTACCCCTTTCCCTTTCTAATAAGTGCCCCTTTTCCTTATGATAAGTGCCCCCATTAAAAAGAAAGAGCTCCCTCCCCTTCTCATAAGTGCCCCTTTTCATATCTGGTCAGTGTCCCTTTTCACCTCTGATATTTGCCCTTTTTTATTAATGATACGTGCCCCTTTTCCTTTCTAATAAGGGACCTATCCCCTTTTCACCTCTTATAAATGCCCTTATCAAAATCTGATGGGTGCCCCCTTTCCGTCAATTTAATTATGTTACTTATCAAAGGTCTTTTCAGTCTTCCGTTATGAGAATGTGCTTATAACCCCATCACGATTGGTTTTTTCCTCTTTATAAGATGTAATTTTCGCACTGCGACCTCACAGATCTTTAAAATTTTTCTCGCTCGCTTCGCTCGCTCATAAATGCATATTCAGACATCACACCCAACTGTACAGTATGATGCTTAAGCGATATCTTGTATGATGTATGAAGAGAAATAAATAATGAAATCATCCCTGATAATGTAATCACACTGTAGGGGTATATACCAATGTCTAAAAATGGTATATTTTCGCTTTGAGATTTCCCAATGTAGGTGCCCCTTTTTTTCCAGAAAGTGCCCTTTTTTGTTGGTGCCCCCCCCCCCCCCACTTGGGAAGTCGCTCGGCCGCCCCTGTGCAAGGGAGGGGTGGTTTTTTTTTTTTTTTAATAGTGGGCATTTTCCCTCCTCCGTCATCGTTGAGCACACACAAAAGTAGTGCTCTTAGATTTCTACCTTTATCTTTCACGATAATTGTATACTCTTGTTTCATATCAATATTTGTAGTTTTCAGAAACGACTTAGAGTTCTAGTCTTTTTTTTTGTCAATCATAAAATTAAATAAAACATATATACAGATGTATTAAATATAATATGCTTAAAAAACGTTTGTCTTTTTTCATTCCCGGTGGGGTGACTTTGAGACAGAGAACAAAGCAATATAGTTGGCGCTATACCAACTTCGATCTACACCGATCCGCTATAAAATTGTGTTCCTTCATCACTCGGTTTCGATTCATTCTTATATAATTTTTTTTTTTTTTATGGTCAGTTTTTATTCTTTTCTCTCTTGAAACAAATTATAATCATAGTACAAATTACAATCATCATATGTAACGCTCACTGCAAATGTGATGACATTATAAATCAGTATAAATTTTTGTCTTACAAACGGCTTCTAATTCCTATACATCATTATTTGAAACAAAAATTCATATTTTCAAAGAAAACATATGCAGTTGTATAATCCAAAAATTTTGTTTTAACAATGTAGCAACTTATACTTCTTTTATACTGTTGTCCTGAGAGAAAAGTTTTCTCCTTTTGTTAACCCTACCCGACCTCTCCCTTATCCCCCTCCCCCCCCCCCCCCCCTCTTAACCGGTGGACGACTGGCTCTGGGTTCCAATAATTGTTTGTCTAATAATCAGGTTTTCCCGTTTAGAAAAATGAATAGTGAGAGTTCCCCTCATTGCTGCCAATTTCCTTTCTTCTACTTTATCCCCTATTATACTATTCTTTATTTCATTAAAAGAGGGTGGTTTTTAAAGTTCTCTATTTCTATAAATCAGATATTTAACAAGAATTAAAACATGATTCATTAATTGATATTTTCCTTTATTTCTCTCCTCTTTCCCATACAGAATTTCCTCCAAACTACAGTTATGTATTTCAAAGTCTAAAAATCTCGTGCACATTCCCCACACTGATTGTGCAAATTCACAAGTATAGAATAAATGTTTAAATGTTTCTTCATCCTTTTCGCAAAATGAGCATAAGTTAGTCGAGACAAGACCAAAACGGAAGAGGTGATGGTTTGTATATAATATATTATGTATAAGTTTGAACTGAAACTCTCTTAATCGACTGTTAAGTGTACACTGTCTTAGTCTTAAAAATATGTTTTCTATTTCCTTACAGGAAAAACCATAGTTCCTTCCAATTCTCTCAAAAACCAAAGGTTTAAAATCATCTTTCTTATTTTAATTATGATGTATGATCGAGGGACAGTGACTATGCCAGAATAGGGGCACACACAAGTTCTCTGAAATGAAAAAAATTATTTACTCGAGGTCGAAAAGGTTAATCTGTCTACAAGGTTTTAAACACCCCGCAAAAGTTGGCAATCGTATCATAATACATTGCAGTTATATGAGGAATGAATGTTTAACAAATCACTTCGGAACAGCCACCGCCTTTGCCCCCCCCCCCCCCCCAAGCGGAGAGAGAGAGAGAGAGAGAGAGAGAGAGAGAGAGAGAGAGAGAGAGAGAGCAGGTATACTGATCCCCCATAGACTTTTCCATTATCAAGAACCCCTGAAGAAGAAGAAGAACAAAAGCTAATTTCGTTTTTAAAGATACTATGTCCCTTTTGCAGCCAACCTCAAATTATGTAGAACTTTGCAGGAATTATGAATATGTCATGTATGTCCTATCTGTGAAATTTGAATGTTAGCAGTGTCCTAATATTCAAATTATGCAAGGAAACCTGTTTACTTGCTAGACTTCACTGTCAGACACTATTGAGTGACTGACTGGCTTTTTTCTTCTTTGATAATAACATACATAAAATAAGCTGTAAAGGATGTATGAGCATTTGTCTACATCAATAAGATAGCCAAAATCAAACTGACTGAATCTTTGCGCAGCATAAAACGTATTACCATTCAGTGCAATGGTCTGAAAATCAAGACTATTACTTATTGGCTCTATAGCTCCTAAGTCGATTTGACAACTAATAGTCGTTATTTTTCCACTTGAAGACATTTTCAAGCCCCACCTTTTTTAGGGAAGTTCTAAATTAGTATTATCTTTCAAATGCCGCTAGAATTTAACCTTTTCATTTTTTTGGCCTACAAATGGGACATAGTACCTTTAAAGTGACCAGATGCTCCTCCCCGAGTTAAATTCCTGTATTAAACCACACTCAAAGGGTAAGATTGGACTCTCCTATATTATGTGATGTGCCCTCGGAAGTCTTTGACATACGACGTAGGCCCTATTATCAACTCAACCCCCCTCCCCCCCCCCCCCCCCTGTGTATACTGTCCTTCGTATCAATGTTTCCTTTATTAAACCAGCTCCTCAAGTACAACCAATAATAATATTATATGCTTTTGAAGACGACCATTTGGAAACGTGGGGGGGGGGGGGGGGGGGGGGATTTACACATTCAAAGCGAAAATATACAATTTTCAGACTTTGGTAACAACCCCTATACATCGTAATTAATACATTATCAGGAATGATTTCAATATTTTATTTTATCTTTACATGGTCAAATCACTGTTGAGTGTGATAGTATGATCAGTGAGGTCGCATTACGACCAATCAGATCTTAAAATGACTCGGTAACATTGTTTTAGATTCTGAAACGAAATCCTGGATTTCTCCTGCTGCTCATGACTTTTTACAAGCCGATCGCCTGTTTGATTATCAAGATATCTATGATTGGAAATCAAAATCAAATTTTCCGTTTTCCGTTTTCCGGGGCGAAAGGCCTTCGCCACCCCCACCCCTTTCAGCAAAAGAGAGAGAGAAAGAAGGAAATTAAAATAAAGGAAAGGTTAAGAAGAGACAAAGGAAAATGAAGAAGAAAAGAAAAGGAGAAAGAAGGAGATCGGGGAGGGGGAGGGGGCCGAAAGTGCTTTGCCTCCCAGGCTGTTGCCCCCCACCCCCCCCCCCCCCCCAGCAAAAAGAAAGAGAGAAGGAAGAGAAGGAAAAGAAAAAGGGAAAAGAGGAGATAAAGGGAAGGAAGAAAAAAAAAAGGGGGGGGGGGTATCAGTTGCAGTTTTCCCGCCAACAAGTTGGGGATCGGGGGCGGCAAATGGCCCTTGCCGCCCCCTCCCCCCCCCCCCCCCTCTACACAGCAAACTTAAGAGAGAGAGAAAGGAAGAGAAGGGAAATGGAAAGAAAAGAAAGGTACGGGAGATCAATTGTGATTTTTCCCACAACGCAGTGTGGATCAGGGGCGAAAGGCCTTCGCCTGCCCTCCCCTGGCTCCTCATCAAACAAAAGAGAGAGAGAGAGAAGGAAGGAAAAGAAGAAAGAAGAGAGAGAAGGAAAGGAAGAAGAAATGAAAAA